CCAAGTAGCCAGAATTACAGGCATGCGCTACCACGCCCAGCTGATTTTTTTTTTTGATTTATTGTAGAGATGAGGTCTCGCTGCCCAGGCGGGTCTCGAACCCGCTGGCTCAGGCAATCCACTCACCTCAGCCTCCCAAAGGCGCGGGATTACAGGCTGAGCCACCGAGCCCGGCTTGGATGTGTATTTTTTATCAAATCTGAGTTTGTTCCTATTGACCAATATTTCTTCTGGATATGGGCCATATTTTCTGCTTCACATGTCTAATAATTTTTTTTATTGAATGCTGAATGTGTGTTAAATTGTTGATCATGTGGATTTTGTCGTCTTCCCCTATAAAGCATTGAATTTTTTTGTTTGTTTGTATGGTGGCTAGTTAAGTTACCTGTGGATCAGCTTTATCTTTTAAAGACTTGTTTTGTGAACTGCTAAGATCAATCTAGAGTAGCTTTGACGCTAGGGCTAGTTTAATTCCACTGCCAAGACATGAGCTATCTGGGTTGCCTGCTGAGCCCTCTCTACTCTAGCTGGGTGATTGCGAATATTTACCAGTCCTATGTAAACTCTGGGATTGTTCAGTTTACAGATCCCTAGAAGTTGTTCTTTTCCTACTAGCAGTTCTTTGCCTCTCCTCATAGGGTCTCACCTTAGCATGCAATGCAACTTTATAAACCAGAGTCTCAAAAGGACCCCTATGCAGATTTCTAGAGTTGTTTCTCTTTGTGTAGCTCCCTCTTGATTACTGCCCCACAAGTTCCAACTGCCTCAGTCTCCCTGAACCCTCATCTCCTCAACTCAGCAGGAACACCATGCTTTGCTTAGGTTCTTCCTCTTTGGACCACAAAATTCTTTGCAGACATAGAATATGACAGCAGACAAGAAGCTGGCGTCGTATGGTTTCCTAATTCATATTCCTTCTCTAATCAAAAGCCCATTACTGCCTATCATACAGTGTCTAGAAAGAATTGTTCCCTGTATTTTATCCAGTCTTCTAGTTGTTACTATAGGAGTGAAAGTCTGGTATTAGTTATTTCATTGTGTCCTGAGGCAGGGAAGTTCCAGCTATGGGCCAGGGTCCCTAGTCATGCTCCCATGAGAGTTAGAACCTGCAGCTCAGTACTTGCATAATAAGTGTTATAGTTTGAGTTGTTTCTATCTGGTTTGCCTTTTCTATTGATACTATTGCTGTTTGTGTCTTTAACCTCCTTGTTTCTTTGTTTAGTATGGTTAAAATGTGACTCTTTTGTATTTGCTACATTGTAAAAGGACTTGTTTTTTTTTGAGCCAGGCACAGTCCTCTCCCCAACCCCAAGAACTAGATACTTTCCCAGAGGTGGACTTGTACTTTTTAGAAAATAAACTTAAAAAACTAAAAAGTAGTTTGATATTTGTATAACTTTTAAAACGGTTTCAATCAGAATTGTTTGTTTTCAGTTTTTTGTTTGGATTTTTCATATAAACATGTATTTATTCCATTCAAATTGGTTATATTTAGGAACCATTAAGGTATAATGTTGAAAGGAACTTGTGAGGTTTCTTATCAGTTAATATAGTTTAAGCTAAAATGTTAAGGTATGGGCTAAACAGGCTCTTGAGAGTGAACAAAGGACAAGAAGTTGAGTTGTTAGTGTTTATTTTGTCAGGGAACCACCACATCTGCCACTAAGGCTGAGTAATCATGACTTATTAGTGTGGTTATGGAAAATGTATATCATTTTAGTTGAGTGAATGAACAGACTTCTTTAGAAGAAAGAATTGTCAAATCAGAGACTTGAGAAAAAGTTCTAAAATCAGATTGTTGAAAACTTTTCTTTTTAAAATTACTAAGAATTAAAATTATGTTGAGCTATTTTATTGGATAATGTATTTAATTTGTTGGGGTATTTTTTTTTTTTTTTTATTTTGAGTTGGAGTCTCACTCGGTCACCCAGACTGGAGTGCAGTGGCCACTCCTGGTCACTGCAGCGCCTGCTGGGCTCCGGCAATCCTTCCGCCTCAGCCTTCCCAGTAGCCGGAATTACAGGCATGCACTACCACGCCTGGCTGATTTTTTGATTTATTGTAGAGATGAGGTCTCGCTGCCCAGGTGGGTCTCGAACCCACGGGCTCAGGCAATCCACTCACCTCAGCCTCCCAAAGGCACGGGATTACAGGCAGAGCCACCGAGCCCAGCTGGGGTATATTTTTAAATCTTTATTTTTGGAATGCAGATGTAGTTTTTTCCTTTCCTATATATCCAAGAAGTCTTGTTATTTTCACATGCAGGGCAGTTCCATTTTTGTTCACTTAAAATTCATTTATTTTTTTTTTTTAGAAAAGAGGATTTATTGAGAGGTCAGAAAAACTTCCACAGTGGGAGGAGACCCATGGGAGTTGCCCTAAAATTCATTTCTATAATTCAGCTATAGACTGTACCTGTAGCCAAAGAGGACAAGTCTTAAATTTTCTTCCTTTTTCTTACTGTCATTCATTTGTCTCTTTTGTGTTTTCTAACAGTAAAAGTGGAAGTTATGGGTATTTTTAAAAATTGTATCTAATAGCTGTAACTTTATGGGGAGAATTGTTTCACTAATTATGTAGTTATTCTTTAAACTCAGGGTTTTTTTTATAGGATCACTAAATAATCTTTCTCCCTTCCCCAGCTGTGAAGTCTCTTTTATGCATATAGTGTTTAAAGAAAGAAGCAGTTATAGATTTCATGGTTAGTCATAACTTTTCAAAAACCCGAATAATCAAAAGCATTCTTTTTAAAATGTTCTGTAATTATTTTAAAACTCAAATATTAATATTTATAGCATTTCCAAGAATTAAAACCCAAGAAAATGGGGAACAAAAACTAAAAATTCACAGGTTTTTTTTGGTCCAGAAAAAAACCCCACTAATAATTAATTCAGTGTTAAGTATAGAACTTCATTTATTAGATATTATTTTATCAGAAAATGCCTATTGTATTTAGTAACAAATGTAACTTAGACTTATGAGCAACTCTCTTTTTTATATTAACATGACTCAGAACATTTTGTTATCTTTATAGTGAGCAGGATTTTAATGTTTTATTTTTGTCACTACATTTTATATACTTTGTCTTTGAACCACAAATTGTTTCATCATGCAATCTTAAAAGACTCTTATACACAGAGACCACTTACTTTACTTTGAGTCTGACTCATTTATGAAAAATTATTGGAGAAATTTTAATAAAAACCTTCAGATTGAGAAATATTCTCACCGTATGGTTAATAACAGTCTGTGTGTGTGTAATTTTATTCTGCAAAGTATTTTTCTTCATAACAGCTGATGGCTAATACTATTTCCTAGAAGGCATCTATTAATCTATGTTTGAGGGTCCCAGGAATTTATGTTTCAACCAGCTCCCTAGTTCACTATTACCTCATCTTGTGCATGTAGGAACTATTTTAAGACTATCACACTTCCAAATATTAATACATTTTAATCTATATGATTATTGTTAATTTTTAATATTTCAAAGTAAAGGAACAAAGCAGCATAACAATTTCTCTAGAAAAATTTTACTTGAAAAGAAAAATTCTTTACCTGTAATCCTAGCACTTTGGGAAGATGAGCCTTGCTTGAAGCTATGCATTGGAGACCAGCCTGAACAACATAGCAAGACCCTATCTCTAGAAAAATTTTTTTAGAAACTACCCAGGCATGGCAGTGTGCGCATGCCTGTAGTCCCAGCTACTTGGGAGACTGAGGCAAAAGGATTGCTTGACCCCAGGAGTTCGAGGCTACAGTGAGCTGTGGTCACACCACTGCACTTCAGCCTGAGTGACAGAAAAAACCCTGTCTCTTAAAAAGAAAAACTTACTGATACTGGTTTCATAATTGTTTTTTGCTTTAGGATCTCACTGAAAAAGGCTAAACAAAGTAGTTACTTTACCAACTGTGTTTAAGTAAAGACATAAAGTGGTATTTTCAAGTTGTGCCTAAAAAAACCAGTTTTTATTACAGGGGATAACATTCTGACAAATGAGAACTATGGATAAATAATATAAAAATCAAGCCAGAAATCAGATCAGTGGGGCTAGAACTGGGGAGAGGAAGATTGACTACAAAGGAGTACAAGGAATCTTTTTTGCAGTGATGGAAATGTTCTAGATCTTGCTGGTTGTGGCTCAATATATTTGTCAAAGCTCACTGACATGTACACCTCAAACTAGTGACTCTTACACCTCAATAAATCTGAATTTTTTTTTTAATTAACCAGGAGGAGATTCTGGGGAAGCATTATTTTCTCAAATTACTAATTGCATATTGAAATTATTTAGACACAGTTTTGTTCTTTAAAAGCTAAGATTTTTTCTTGTAAAATATAGTAATTAATATGCTGTTAAAAAAACTTGTGTATTGATAATTTCTTTTTCTTAAATATTTCTCATCAGAGATTTCTTGTATTTGTTTTATAGGGTCCACATATAGCTTCAGTCACATTAGCTGCTTATGAATGCAATTCAGTTAATTTCCCTGAACCACCCTATCCTGATCAGATTATTTGTCCAGATGAGGAGGGCACTGAAGGATCCATTTCTTTGTGGAGTATCATCTCAAAAGTTAGGATTGAAGCCTGCATGTGGGTAAGATGTGCATTTTTATATTTGTCTAAAAATAACCTCAGCATCTTGATGCTATGTTGTACTTTATTGAAATGGAATCCAAACATCCCTGGTCAATAAATGATTCATGAAGTTACCTGCTACCGACTTTCAAGGCAAAATAAACCTTTTAGAGCTTCTCTTATTTGTGAGTGACATTGAGAAGAAAGGCATGAAGCCATTTGTACCACAAAGCAACTGATGCCAAGTAGACAACAGCAGGAAAAAGGAATGGATGGTAGAACTACAATATCTACTAATAGCCTACTGTTGAACAGAATCCTTACTAATAAAATAGTCAATTAGCACATGTTGTATATGTTACATGTATTATGTACTATATTCTTAAAGTAAGCTAGAGAAAAGAAAATGTTAATCGTCAGGAAGAAAAATATATTTATTATTCATCAATTGGAAGTGGATCATTATCAAGTTCTTTATCTTCACCATTTTCATATTGAATAGGTTGAGGAGGAGAAGAAAATAAGCAGTTGGTCTTGCTGTCTCAGGGTTGGCAGAGGTGCAAGAGGTGGAAGCAGTAGAAGGGGCACACTCAGTGTAACTTGTACCCATGCAGTTCAAACCTGTGTTGTTAAGGATCAACTGTATTCTACTTTGTAAAGTTTGTTCCAGTATATATATACCTGATTAACACTTAGCGAGTGGTTGCATATATTAGATTGGTAAATATTATATGTCTCCTACTTTAAATTATTATGTTTATTCTTAGAGGACTCATGTCATTTTCTGAGTTGTTATAATGCTAAAATAAGGTCAGACATTTTTCAGTATAAACCAAGCCTTATTGTAGTATTAGGCCTTTCAGTTGTACCAATTATATTTTCTGTGGTTTATTTTATGAATTTTCTTGGACAGCATGTTCAGTGGTAGATGCATTTATTTATTTATTTAGACAGAGTCTTGCTCTGACACCGAGTTAGAGTGCAATGGCATGATCATGGCTCATTGCAGCCTTTACCTCCTAGGCTCAAACGACCCTCCCATCTCATCCTCCTAAGCTAGGACTACATATGCATGCCAGTGGGCCCGACTTTGTTTTTTTTGTAGAGACAGGATCTTGCTATATTGGCTGGTTTTAAATTTCTGGGCTTAGCCAGGCTTGGTGGCTCAGCCTGTAATCCCGTGCTTTGGGAGGCTAAGGTGAGTGAATTGCCTGAGCCCGCGGGTTGGAGACCCACCTGGGCAACTCGGCGAGACCTCATCTCTACAATAATTTAAAAAATCAGCCAGGCGTGGTAGCACATGCCTGTAATTCCAGCTACTCGGAAGGCTGAGGTGGAAGGATCGCTGGAGCCCAGCAGGTCGAGGCTGTGGTGGCCGGGAGCAGCCACTGCACTCCAGTCTGGGCGGCAGAGTGAGACTCCAACTAAAAAAAAAAAAATTTCTGGGCTCAAGCAGTCTTTCCACCTTGACTTCCTCAAGCCAGCAGATGTAATTTAATCCATACAGTGTTTTTTGTGTGTGTGCTATATTTCTAAATGTATTGGTATATACATCATTGAGGAATAATTCATTTGATAAAGACTTCTGTTACCATTTTAATTATTTTTTAGCTTATCATTTGGCTTTGTTATGTTCCTATAACTTTTTTCTCTAGCAATTTCTTAGGAAATTAAAGATTGTGGAACAGATCAACTTAAAATCTTAATTCATTAAAATGAGCATGAATATCATACTCGTAGAAGAGGTAGAGTTTTGAAACACAGTTAAGTGTTAGCAATTATGTTTTGCTTTAAAAGGATTTTAAAGGAAATACCATACATTGAATTTGTTGAATATGAAATACAGGAAAAATTGTCATGTTTCCTGTTGCTTTTTGAGAAACACTAGAAACTATACTAGTTGCATATGTTTTAGAAATTCAACAACATTAGTCTTTTGATGAAAATCATTATTAGAAAAGCAAAAGATACTTGGAACATGCTAAAAAAAGAAATTTGTATTAAATTTGGTTTTCTATTTTTCTTAATAATATACTTTTATTCTTTCAAAAATTATTTACATGACTGGATTAGCCCTAAGGCCAACAAAGGAAAACTTCCATTCCAGCTGACCATGATAACTGCCTCTCCCAGGTTCCCATAGTTCATATTGTCTATGGTGCTTATTAGACTTGGCCTAATACATGCCTTAAATTAGTTAACTTGCCTGGTATAGTGGCTTTCTTCCCCAAATAATATTTGAGATCCTAAAAAATATAAACCGTTACTTAAATATATTACCATCACAGTAATCAGCATTAAGTTTTGCACATAGTATAGGAATGTCAATAAATACTGATTAATTGGTCAGATGTTTATTTGCTCTTGTTTCCTTTTGTGGAACTGTCACTTAAGAAATATAGCACATGTTACGTTAGGTTCCTATTGTTCTCTGCATTTACAAGAACAGTCATTTCAACAAATGCTGCTGGGAAAACTGAATATCCACATGCAAAAGTACAAAGCTGAACCCTTACCTTACACCATATATATGAATTAACTCAAAATGCATCAAAGGCCTAAACTTAAAAACTAGAATATAAAACTCTTAGAAGAAAACATAGGGACACTTTTGCATCGTGTTGGATTTGGCAGTACTTTCTTGTGCATGACTTTTTATCACATATATAAGAAAACAAAAGGAAAAACAGGTGAATTGAACTTCACAAAACCTCCTGTGCCTCAAAGGATACTATCAAGAGAGTAAAAAGAGAACCTACAAAATGGAAGAAAATGTTTATTAATCATATATCTGCCCTGGTGTGGTGGCTCACACCTATAATCCCAGCAATTTGGGATGTGGAAGTGAGAGGATTGCCTGAGCCCAGGGGTTTGAGACTAGCCTGGACAACAAGAACTCATTTTATAAAGAAGTCAAAAAAATTATATATGGTGTAAGGTAAGGATCCAGCTTTGTACTTTTGCATGTGGTGTGGGTAGTGCACGCTTATGGTTCCAGCTACTTAGAGGCGGAAGGATTGCCTGAACCCAGCAGATTGAGACTGTGATAGCCATGAGTGTGCCACTGCACTCCAGCTGGATGACAGAGTAAGACTCTGACACCAAAAAATATATATATATATCATATATCTGATAAGGTTTAATACTCAATATTTATAGAACTTCTACAGCCCAACACCAAAGACAAACAACCGTATAGGCCAACTACTTAAATAGACATTTCTCCAACGATATGCAAATGGTCAATAAGCACATGGAACAATGCTCAACACTGTTAGTTATTAGGGAAATGCAAATCCAAGCCATAAGGAGATACCCCTTCATAACCATTAGGATGGCTATTATTTTTTTAAAATTTAAAGGAAAATAAACATTGGCGAGGATATGGAGAAATCGGAACCCTTATGAATTGATGGTGAAAACGTAAAGCGGTTTGATTACTGTGAAGAACTGATAGTTCCTTTAAAAACTGTACTTAAATTGCCATATGAACCTCTACTAATTTGACTCCTACATAACCCAAAAAAATTAAAACAGGGATCTGAAAAGATACTTGTACATCGCTGTTTAGCAGCATTATTCAGAGTAATGAAAAGTAGAAACAACTCAGTGTCCCTCAGCAGATGAATGGATAAACAAAATGTAGTATATACATACAATGGGATGTTATTCAGATATAACAAGGAATGAAGTTCATTCTGATAAGTGCTACAATATGGATGAACATTGAAAACATAAAATAAGCCAAACACAGAAAGAGAAATATTGTATGGCTTCACTTATATGAAAAGGATATGAGAAATGAGAAGTTAATGCTTAATGAGTACAGAATTTGTCTGTGTAATGAAAAATACTGGAAATAGTGACGGTTGCACAACACTGTGAATGCAGTTAATGCCTATGAACAATGGCACAAACTCATAAAAAGTCAATAGTACTGAGGCTGGGAATACATGATTTAGAGTATGTGGTGACTGTGATTCTTAGTTTACCCTTTCATAGTTTTAATCCATTTGTGTCCACTTTTTTTTTTTTTTTTTTTTTTTGAGTTGGAGTCTCACTCTGTCGCCCAGACTGGAGTGCAATGGCCGCTCCTGGCACAGCAGCCTTGACCTGCTGGGCTCCGGCAATCCTTCCGCCTCAGCCTTCCAAGTAGCTGGAACTACAGGTGCGCGCTACCACGCCGGCTCATTTTGATTTATTGTAGAGATGAGGTCTCGCCAAGTTGCCCAGGTGGGTCTCGAGCCTGCGGGCTCAGGCAATTCACTCATCCCGGCCTCCCAAAGCGTGGGATTACAGGCTGAGCCTCCGAGCCCGGCCTATGTCCACATTCATATATGTATTTTTCAGGGGAATGTCTTGCTTGACTAAAAAATGATATTTTTTCTAAAATATTTGTCTAAGTTGTACTTGAAAAATTACAATATTTTTACAAACTTCACTATCATTATAATACATTGAATGAGTTAAATCATCAACATACATAGTACTTCCATTTATAAGATAAAGAATCTCAACCTCAGTTTCAGTTTGTTCACATTTTGTCTTTGGAGCACTTAAACTGATTGGTTTTGTATATATATAAAACCAATCATATTTCCTTTTTTGAGTTGGAGTCTCACTCTGTCGCCCAGGCTGGAGTGCAGTGGCATGCTCCCGGCCACCACAGCCTCGACCTGCTGGGCTCTGGCGATCCTTCTGCCTCAGCCTTCCAACTAGCCAGAACTACAGGGCCGTGCTACCATGCCTGGCTAATTTTTGATTTATTGTAGAGACAAAGCTCACCAAGTTGCCCGGTGGACTCAGGCAATCCACTTCTCTTGGCCTCCCAAAGTACTGGGATTACAGGCTGAGCCACCAAGCCTGGCTGTTTGATATTTTTGATCAGTAAGGTACCTTTTACAGTTTATATCTTTTTAAACTTATACAGTTTGACTATTTGACCAGTGCAAGCTTCCTCAAATTTTCTTTTTGTTCTTGAACTCCAAAAATAGTTAAACATCTAAGCACTAAGGATTC